AATTCTAGAATTCTTGGTAAATTATCAAAAGTTGGTAAAAATATTCAAACCTTAAAGATGCATCTTGGAATTTTTTTTCAAACATTACTTCCAAGGAATTGTATCCCCACGTCATCCAATAGATCGACCTAAATTATGACCAGATCAAATATTAACTCTCCTAAAAGTAAATTGACATTACTTACTTGACTTTATTGTCATGCCATTACTGTAAAATCAGGGTTTAGAATATGGACCAAATTTCGCTTTGCAGCAGCTGAAAATTTTGTCATCAGATAAAAAATGGTCAATCACTGGGCAGACAACAATGAACGTGACATCAAATTTAAATGGCATTGATTGTCGAGTCTCAAATGTAGGAGAAAAATTTTATCGAAAAGAATTCACCGAAAAAAATTGATATAACATAAAGGTCGTTACAATTTCAACCATTAGTTGTTCCATATCGGCATGGCGCAGAATCTCTATTCTACAACCTTTAAAAGTATAGGTCTCAAGAACTACCTATAAAAAATTTTAACCCCATTAACTGATGGTTTAAGTCTCTAGCTTTGATGTTAATGAAAAATGTAAATGGTATTTGTTGACAGTGATATTTTTAACTTGATTGACTTCCAAGAATTCAGGCACATTCTCGAATGTGATTATACGAGTTGATGGACTAATTGATACTTTTTTCATAAATGTATTAAATGGTCTGACATCATGTCGAAGTGCTTTTCTTGTAGAAATACTCATAATAAAATCAGTTTTACTAATAATAATAATAATAATGTTTATAAATAGATATTCAAGTGTGCATACACGTATATATTATGTATATGACCATATAAATGTTTGCTTACCGATCCAAAACGGACCATTCAACATCTGCTACACGATTCCATTTCATCATAACTTTTTCTAATGAAACATAATTCATATTAATATACATGGTTACGGGAGTATATTCACCGTATAGTGCATTTCTCGCATTTGCATCAATTTCAAAATATTGATTGGTGTAGTATGCTTTATTGTCAAGCACTTTAGTGAATCCATTATAAAAGATTTCTTCGTGCGTGGCACTATTTTTTTTTTAAAAAATATTTTATTAACAATTTTTGTAATATTTTCCAGGGATAGAAATAAATAAAAAATTGAATGACTTACATCTCGGTGAAACTTGATCGAACACATTTTTCTTTAATAATATCTTTTAATTCATAAAATTCCCAAAGTTTTGATGAAACTTGTGGCGGAACATCGGAAAACAAAACTTTGCCCAATCTTTTTTCAATTAATTTATATATTATTATTTTTGAATTCAAATAAAAATTAAATTTCGATTAATTAATTAATTAATTCAAATCTCAAATCATACCTTCCTGAAAAACGGATTTCGCCTCTAAATGCTCGAACATGCTCCATTCTAAATTTTTATTTATTTATTTAAGGATCAAACTTTTCCATAATTAGTTTATCACTATTTTAAGTATTTAAATCAGTGTCATACCCTTCAATCAATGCTTCTTTTGTTCGAACAAAATTATAATCTCTAAGCCTAGTGTCATCATAAAAATCGAAAAAAAATTCTTCTGTATATATTAATAAATTTACAAATACATAAATATATACATAAATAAATTTGTGTACATTTTTCCAGGCGTAACATTTGATAGATTTAAAGGGTGAGTTTGTTCAGGACTTTTCTGCAAATCAATCTTTTTAGTTTTGTAATCCATATCTTCTTTATATGGTTTTTCATCAAAAATATCAGTATATCTTTTAGATTCTTTTGAAATTTGAAAATTTGTGTCTTGAGTTTTAGTATTCCACAAAATTGGTCCAGAAGAGGAGGAAGTGGAAAGTTGACTTGTAGTATTTGCCTCGGTATATTGAGAGCGTTTTTTTCTCAATTCAGATATAGACTGAATTGATTGTTTATTATAATTATAATAATTATAATAATAATCTCTTCTAGTGGTATTGTCAATAAATTGACTTGTTGATGACGTGTTTGGTAAAGCAGGAAAGTGTGATCGAGAATTTTGTTCAAGGCCAGCATTCCAATGAGATTCTTGTGGCAATGGATTTTGTGACTCACTATAACTTTCATTATTTGCGGGCGATAGTGGTGTTGATCGAATATCATTACTATTTTGAGTAACTATAACTTTATTTTTTCCTTTAAGAGATTCTGACATTGTTGATAATACTGATGGTGGTAATGTTGTCATTGATGAAGTTGATGCTGCTGGAGATGATGGAAAAAAAAATGGTGATGATTGATCATTATTTAACGGAACAGCCGATTTATTGATTGGTGATTGATGTGAATTTTTTCTAATTACATTACTACTATTATTATTACTATTATTATTACTATTATTTACATTTGTAGAATCAGATTTTTGTGAACTTGGTATTTTATATTTGCCAGTTTTAGGGTCTAGGATAGCATGTATAAGCAAATATACATTTTGGTCTGCGTGTGATTTAATAGTCATTTTAAAATATCCATGATTTTTCAATGGAAGGAAATATAGTTTGAAATGAACATCTTGATTTGGATAATGTACAAGTGGAACTCTTTTTGGTCTGAAATCAGACCGAAGCTAATGTATGTATATATTATATTTAAATGTTTATTATTGAAACTCAAAATTATAAAAGTAAGAAAAGTTAAAAATAATTACATAGATTTGTTCCAATGTCTTGAGTCTATGAATAGCCTTTTCGATATCTCGTCTTGTCCCACCTGTAACACGAATTTTCTATTTATAAATAAATAGAAATTGGTTGAATATATATTTTATACTGATTTAAAATATTATTTAACAAAAGTAAATAAATTACAAACCCTACTATCAAGAACCAAATCTCCAGTCACATTACAATCTTTACAAATATCTTTCCAAT